CTTAAATCTGCTACCGAGTGCACTAAGGTAGCCTACGGTTTCCGGAAGACTACCTACGGCTTGCCCTTCGAGCAGTAAAACCACGCTAGACTTATGCAACTGCACATTCTTGTGAAAGGTTAAACAAGCTAGTGTGCATATACGAAGCATTATCCACTGCCGACATGCTACGTAGTCAATAAGCTTCACCTCTGCCAAGCGCAGAACAACTTACACCAAGTCCTAAAGTGTTGTGATACTTGCTACGTAACCTACGGAATTGGAGAAAGCCAAGGTTAATAGCCTAGTGGTTTTGCGGACTTGTCTACTTCTGTAAGTAAGGCATTCGGCTGCCAACCCTATGACTAACAACTTTGCAAAGTTCTACACCAACACCTACGACTGCATAGGCTACGCGAGCATGTCTACTTATAGAAAAGTAGCACGCCTGCCATTGGTCTATAAAAGTCTAAAGGTTAGGACATGAACAAAAGAAGTGAAGATGAATAAAATTGAAGGAAACATGTTTATAAACAACTAGCAAAGGCCGAAGGAGTTCAAGCAAAATAAGAGCTATAAGGAAAAACAAAGAAAATCCTAAAAATCCTAAAGGCTACCTAGAAGACTACACTTCAGCGGCTTAGACATCCAACGACTACTCGGTCATCACACATTCTGCAGACGCTCTTAGCAGTGGCATCATCCAACGCTTCACCCCTGGCTACCCTAGCCTAGTCACCAACTTCTCCAACTACTTCACCAATGGAAGCCTCAAAAGTAAAAGCAAGCAAGTCTTCCGGAGAAATAGAGAAGGTCTCAAAACCTCGAGCCCATTATTTTCACCCTTTAATTGTTCATCCTCATTGAGCAAACCAACACGGACGCGTTACAGCTCAACCACTTCCTTCTTCAGACTTTCGTTGATCTTCAGTACACCTTAAAGTTCCAACACTTGGGATTCAAGCCTATCGATGATTCTTTTGAAGTGGATCACTTGGTTATAAGCAGCAATCAACTCTTCATCCTTTGCATAAGCAACAGAACGAAGCTTAAAAATGGCACCCTCAAGATCTTGAATCTAAGGTATGTGACATCCGATCTCATTCCCTGCACTTTCATACTTAACTTGGATTGCGTTAAACCTAGTCTTCAAGTCAACAGTCTTTTGGCGAGTGGTCTCAAGTTGCAGAGAAGTGGGGGCAGAGACATTAGACCCATTCAAAGTGACGAGCTCATATTTCAACCTCTTGATCTTTTTGGCAGAAGAATAAACTTCAGCTGCCACAGCCTTTGCCACCTCATCGGCAGCCTTGGTATCTTTTTGGTCAAGGAGCATAGACTCGGCTGCCAGAATAGCCATCTTCTGTATCATTGCAAATAGAGTAATCTTCATATACTCGGCTGTATGCTTCGCAAAGAAACTTGGGCAAACAACCTTTTTAACACCATCAACAAACTTGGCACAAGCATCCATGTCTTCAACCAGATTTGGTTTCAAAAGCACACAGATCTTAGCAGCCTCCCCAAAAGCAGGCTTAGTGGATTTCTCACAGCTGCCCACGCGAGCAGTCTTCTTCTTCCCAGCAGACGAATCAATCTTAGTAGCAGAGGAAGTGGGCCTTAGTGCCACTTTAGCAGCAGAGTCCACCTTATCGCTTTTCATAATAGAAAGCTTTTCCGAATGAGAACCGGACTTTGCTCCCAACGGACGTCTTGGTGCAGACTTCGGCAATGGGGGCATGACAAGACCTCTACACTGAGCAATACTATCAGCAATCATACAAGCCATTCTCGACATGGCAAGCGCCACATGCTCAGATCTAGCAGCCTCATTTTCCTTCCCATTGGAAAAAGTCATGTTAATCATAGGATTCTTGGCAATAGGCAGACCCATACAAGTAGCGGATGAAGTCTTCAATTTCCTCAACCAGTATCTCTTGAGCAGGCGGGGAAGATATCTTCTTTCCACCTTCATTCATAATAGGCTCAACAACAGTGTTCAGACGAGCCAATGCATTCGCCTCGATCCTCTTTACCTTATCTCTCGGAAGCAGCCCACCTTTCTCCCGGCGAAGAGAACTAAGCAGCCAACGCCATTCATGGTACTCAGCAGGGGAGCTCAACCTAGCATTCCAGCAGGTAGGCCTGCATGCCCAACATCCAGCAGCTCATAAGGCATACGACCTCCTTATTTCTCTCAATCGTTGGCCTGGCCTGCATCAGGTCCAAGAGCCCAAAGGACATGAGCCATGTGGTTCACCTAGCCCTACATTTCAAAGCTTCAATCTGTGGTCCCAACAGCGCAAGTTGCCTGATGAGTAGATTTTATATTATATATTTTACCCTAATCTTAGTATATTTTGGTTAATATTTTGGAAGAATTTTGATACTTTGAATTGTATTTTCAATATAGGACTTTCGACTTCCTCTGGAGTAAAACAGGATCAAATGGACGAATTTTGGAGTAATTCCAGTTGGAGGACGTTCATGAGTCACTTAGCTTGATCGTATCAAAATTTGGGATTTTTACACCAAGCGGTTATTTTCTGGCGATGAAATAAAGAAGCAGTGCGCAGTGCTGGAAAATGACGTTTTTGGGCTTAAATGACGTTTTTGGAGCCTAAGATGACCTCGGATGGGTTCGTGGCCTTCTGGAAAAGTGTTCAGAATACTCCAAACATTAAATCCAGCTATATTGGGCCAGTTTTGGAGCAGCTTATGGGTCAAAACGTGGCTGTTCAGATTTTGGACGAATTTTTACTATTTTAATTTAGGGTTATGTTTGTCTTTAGGGGGATTAGGGTTTGTGTGGTGGCTTAGCAAATATATTGCTTGGCCGTCTACAGTTTTTAGAACGTTTTCTTTTATGCAATTTTGGAGACAGAGAGAATTGTTAGGGTTTTGAAGATTTTCTACTTGAAGGTGTTTTCAATCATTTTCTTAATAATATTTTCTATGATTTCAATTATGAATATGCAGAACTAATTTCTTTTGCTAGGGCGAAGCCTTGAGCCTTAGCATGAATATGTGATTTTTATTTAATTTCTTATGATTGATTGCATGCGTACTTTGAATTGTTAATCACCGGGATAAAAACTATCTAATTGTCTTAATGCCTGATCACCATTAGGATTTTTAGAAAAGTAATTTGATGCAATTTTGGTCGGAAGGTTCCCTGAAATTGACGCTGGCTTCTTGTGATTAATAATTGTAATTTCTCTTAGGATGAATATCACGTCTTAAGGATTGCATGGTTTTTCAAAGGATTTTCATAAAGCATAATGAGTCTTTCATGTTTAGATTTGATCCGAACGTCCGGACGGGTTGCATGTTAGATATACGTTCTATGTTGGAGGTTCCAAGTAGAATATGATTAGGAAAATCTAACCTTCAAAGTGGCATGTGTAGATTATAAGTAATTGGTAAAAATTCATAGGATTGCTAGGTGATGGTGGAACCCTAGTGCTTTCTTAATTTGATTTCTCTCAAAACTGTTTTCTTTTCTCTCTAGTTTTAATATTACAAATTGTCTTATCATCAATCGTTGGCCTGGCCTGCATCAGGTCCAAGAGCCTAAAGGACATGAGCCATGTGGTTCACCTAGCACTACATTTCAAAGCTTCAATCTGTGGTCCCAACAGCGCAAGTTGCCCATGGCTTTAGCCAAGTTAAGCAGCCTAAAGCAGTGGTCCCTGCCACAACACCTCCTCGGCCCATGCCGAGCCGACTTTTGGCCCCTGCCAGCCGACGTGCTGCACCACCCCAACGGCTGCCCCGCGACAACACTATCCAAGAAGAAGAATTTTTCTTACATCGGTGCGACACGGAGAAGACGAATAAATCAACGAAAGACAATCCTTTGCACATGCAAGATGTAGAAGATTGCTAGAGGAGGGGGAACAAATATCCTCTAAGCTCTCTCTCTCTTGTAGGGTAGGTAAATCGCTCTCCAAAGTTGATTTAATAACCCACTTAAGGTGGAGTTAAATAGACTTTGATAGAAATTTATTTCATTTTCTTAGAAGGATCTAATTTCCTATTAAAGAGGGAATCTATATGAATATAGGAAGCAATCATACGTTTCCTAAAGCAAGATGATCTCTAGACTTGTTGCCCTTTCCTACGAGCAGCCCAACAGGTGTGGGGGCATTTGTGGAGCCAAAAATAATTACAAGGCGACACGTGGATTTTTGGACAAAAGAGGACAAAAATAACTTTGAGGTACAACGAGATTCCTACGTGCGAGTAGCAGGCAATCATCCTTCAACCAAATCAAAAGTGCCCAAAATAGGTAACAAATTCAAAGTTATTTCATCCATCCTCATCCTATATTTTCCACAAGATAATTATTTCATAACCTTCAAAACATCCTATATAAATTACATAACCCCCAAAATATTTATTCCAAAAATGTGTTGATTAACCAATTAATGGATTAATTGCCAAATTAATCCATTAAATCACACATTAAACCATAAGTTACACCCTATCCCTATAAATAGGCTCCCATTTTCACCAAAAGATCATTTCAAGACACTTGCAAAATTCCCAATACTCTCCAAACATTTTTCTCTCTAAATTCTAACTTTGGCATTGGAGGTTCTTCGGCCAAAGCCCCTTCCCCCAATTCATCGTGGGCGCGTGAGGCTCTTGGCCTTAACCCTAAGGTGTTAATTGTTTTGTAGGTGCAATTTTGTCCAAAATCAAGGAGGAAGAAATTTGCATCCACAACGGTCTAGGAGTATTCCTCGTCATTTGTAAGTAAGAACTTTTATGTTTGATTCTTGCCAAATGTGATTTTGAACCACATTATTGTTAGCCCACCATTTCCCCCTTAGTATAAGATAATATCGTTTGTTAAAAAAAAAAAATTGACCACCTTGCAAAAAGAGGAAGAACAAAATTGAACAAGATGAAAAAAGACATCTCTTGATTGCTGCTTGCTACTTTCACTGAGGAGAATAAACAATTCTACAAGTATTCAATTTGACAAGCAAACAAGAATTCCGTCACCATCGTCGAACAAAGAACAAAACGTTAAACGATTTCATATTACGTTTATAGATTGCATTGAGGATTACAACACTAACAGTAACAGAAACTTTGACGGAAACTTAGTACTTATTAAACTATATCAACAATATTAATATTTCTAATGCTTTTCATGCAACGTTCAACTCAACGGAAGCAAAACAAAAGCAAAACGCATGCTTTAACATAACACAAGGCCACTTTTGTGGGACCCAATGCATCATTAGTTTGAAGATGTGGAACAAGGACGAGTACTTTTGTCTAGGGTTTGGAAGGCTTCTTTCATGGTTGGTCTTTTTTGTGGACTAAAACTAGCACAACTAAACCCTAATTTCAAACAAGCCAGCAAGGCATCTTCTCTCCCCTCCACCTCAGCCCTAATCGCCACGTCAACCATTACTAGAATCTGAATTTTCTCTTCCGTCAGCGAACCGGGTGTCCATTGGGTAATCAACTCTCGTTCTGAAGGTATCCTTCCCATGAGAAGCTCAAGCAAGAACTATACCAAATGAATACACATCCCACTTGGGGTTTGGCTTCAAGTTCTTTAGGGACTCCGGCGCTTGATAAGGCAAAGATGCATTCCCCGCGGATGGCATTGCCACGGGGCTGCTGCCTATTGGGAGCGCGTCATGCGTACCTTCACAAGTCGCCGTGGATTTTAGGCTTCCGAAGTACCCCCGAGCTGACCCGCTAGCTTTATGACTAATCATGTTGCCTAACATCAGCTTATCAAGGCCGAAATCACTAATTATGGGCTCCATATCAGGATTTAAAAGGATGTTGCTAGGTTTGATGTTTCCGTGAACATGTTTCTTCTCATGGATGTAAGCCAGCCCCTTCGCAACCCCTCTTGCGATCTTCATCCGAGTTTGGAGAGGTAGATGACACGGCGACAACCCAGCTCTTCCTACAAAATTTTCAAACATGTTTGAGATCAATGACACTTCTATAAGAATTGACACACCGAAAACACAAGGGATAAGTAACACTAAATAAGCAAAGTTACATAAATTTTTTAGTGTGACCATAAGACGCGAGTAATTGCCACATTATCTACCTTGTATATAGTATGGTCCCTCTGGGCTCTACTATTTCAACACTTTGTAGCAGGATTTCCATGAATCTTTGTATATCATGGTTCACTAATTTGGAAGTTGGAACTTGTGATTAAACAGAGTGTATGGTGATTAAGAAACTGACAACAGAGATTGATATAAAATTTTTAATTTATTTTAATGAAAGATTAGCTAATAAAGCTAGAAAATGGACATTGGATTTACATAAAACACTCCAAAACAAGTTGATTAGTTTAGGAAAACAGAGGTACAAGACAACAAGGAATCATGACAATTTATTTATATAAAATTGTTCTTATAAAACATTAAGTTGTTGGCTTAATTTTCAATTAAACTTGGAAGGCAACTTGCGAGCTCTTAGCAAAACAATATATAATTTAGCTAACATACGCCAAAAAACAGAGAGGAAACAGAGCTTACTGTTGGTGGTGGTGGCAAGGCTGCCATTGGAGACATAGTCATAGATAACAAGCTTCTCATCGTCCCCCCAGTAAAACCCACGAACCCTAACCAGATTCGGATGTCTCACCTTTGCAATGGCACGCACTTGGCTCTCGAAATCCCTCATCTTCAAAACCCTACACTCTCCTATCCTCCTCACTGCAAGCTCAGTCTTGTTCTCCAGCACTGCCTTGTACACAATGCTTGGGCCGCTGGCTCCCAATATATAAGCTGATGCTTTCAGCAGTGTCTCGAGTTCCAGCTCCAGTTGGTCCCCGCCTTCTATGGTCACTAAGATGCCACTTTTCTGAGACTCCCCGTTCTGATTCTGCAGACAACCCATTTGTTCATTTTTATCATCATGGTCACTGTCTGAGCTTGTTGCCTCTGATGTTTCTTCCCCTTTGATTGTTAGGCATGACCATGCTGCGGATTTTGCTGCATTGTGTCAAACGTATTAAGTAGCGGTGTTCACAGAACTATCAAGAGTTCGAAAATACAGAACTACACACAATATTGATTTGGAGAAAAATTAAGGGAAAATTTTGTGTAAAATGTACTAGATTGTATCCAAAATCGTATATTTCAATGTCAACAGAAATATCGACTGTCTGAAAATACAAAATTGCGCAAAATATTGAAATGCACTAAATTGTATCTAATGTCGTTAGTACTGATGTGAGGGGAAGGGAAGTGATTTTCGCACAGCTTTCTCTGCTCATGCTTTTTTTTTTTCCTAGGCTTAATTTTCATAAATTAAAGGAGAAACCGAGAGTGTGACGATCACTACGCCTAACGAAAATATACAATATATCAAATATTGAGAGAAATCATATGAGAATTTTGAGTAAAATGTACTAAATTAAATTGTATCTATCTAATATCAATTCCAAAACTGAAAGTGCATACCTTTTTCATCTGGGTCTAGTTTTGTGACAATTTCTGGCTTATTTTCCAGGTCTTTGGCACTACCACCCTTTGACTTGAGACTTTTTCTCTTCCTAACTTGGTAGACATAGAGAATCACCAATCCTAGTACAGCTATTCCGGCCAAGTCTCCGACGGCAATGCCGGCGATCGTGCCAGGTTTCAATCCGCTCTGCGACTGATTCCGATTCCCATTTGCTCCCCCAGAAGTGTTCGTTTCCGGGCGGGTATCAAACGTTCTGGGAATGGCAGCAATCGCCGGAGAAGAACTGGTACTAGTTGTCATATTCGGCGGTGTGGACAGAGTAGAAGGAATGGGACAGAGGGTCTTCAATGGCTTCCCACAAAGCTCACTGTTTCCAGCAAACTGCTCTGTTTTCTGATTGAGCAGAGCCCGCGAGTCCGGTATCGGTCCGGTCAAATTGTTGAAGGAGAGATCAATAGTCGAGTTCTCCGAAACCCTTTTCGCGAAACCAACTGGAAATTTCCCAGAGATTTTGTTGTAGGAGAGGTTCAAGTAGCGCAGGTTTTCACCGCCGAAGTCGAGAGGCAGAGTCCCGTTGAGGAGGTTGGAGGAGAGATCCAAAACCTCAATGGACTTAAAACCAGTGGGTAGATTCCCAGAAAAGTAGTTACTCCTTAGAGAAATTACAGTGAGGTTTTGTAAAGAAGTGAGAATTTCTGGGATTCTTCCGGCCAATGCATTGTCGGAGACGTTGAGAAACTGGAGGCCTTTGAGGCCGGAGACCAACTGATCCGGCAGGTCGCCGGAGATCACATTGCTGGAGAGAGAGGACCTGAAGCTCCGAGGCATTGAAGAGGGCGACAGGCAGAGACCCATTGAAGAAATTGTTGGAAAGATCGAGTCTTTGAAGGTGTTGGAGTGAACCCAGCTCGGGTGAGATTGAACCCAGCAGCTGGCTGTTGGGGAGGACTAAGCTGGTGACTCTGAACATGTCTGGGGTACCTGGGCTTCCCAGCTGGGTGCACGTGACGCCAGTCCAGGAACATGGGGTTTCGTCTTCGTAGTTCCAGGAGTCGAGGACTGAGAGCGGATCGCTGAGGATTGAGTATTTGAAGGAAAGCAGAAGGACCCCATCTGAGTTGAGAGCAAATGTTGTAGGAAGAAGAAGAAGAAGAAAATTGAAGGCAACCCTCCACCAGGTCATGATTGCTTCTTGAGCTGGGTGAAGACGAGATGCTGGGTTTACAGGTTCATGGGGTAGAAAAAGGTTTAGAGAGAGAGAGAGAGAGAGAGAGAGAGAGAGAGAGAGAGAGAGAGATGGTGACCAACTACAGATTGTTGTTTTGGTGAACAAATCTAAGAGGAGTAATTAAGGAAGCTGAGGTTGGGGGTTTGAGCAGAAGAGATGGTTTCTTTCTGCCAACTCTGAGTGAGGAGTTTAGGTGGAGTTTGTGAAAATTGGAAATAATTAGGAAGGGAAAGGAGGGAGGGGGAATATTGTTTCTGGTGATTACGGGAGAGTGTAGGGCAGAGGACACGGAAGTGAGTTGGAGCCCATAACGTGTTTGCAGGGGCCTTAAATTCTACCATCCTGTTTGGGCATTCACATGGAAATTTGATCCATCTGTACTGGCTTCCCACTTTTTAACTGATGTAGGGATATCAATAATTTGTATGAAACGAGAATGTTAAAGTGTTGTATTGTATTCACAACCAATCAGGTCATCATTTTCTGAAAATTTTAATTCACGTATAGTAATAGTGTTATCGGTATAAAATATCACGGTGTTATCATAGTGTCGTCTGGTAAAGAAAAGCGATAACTACATTTGTTTAATTATATTCGTTGTTCTATTCAATTGTTTCAATACCAGAAATATAAAAAATAAAAAATGTGCAATAAGGAGAAAAATTATGTGCGGCTATCATATCCGGTTAATAAATCCTTTTTGTGGGAAACTGATTTTATTGGGATTTCATTTTTTTTCTCTCTTTCTTGACCCTTTTTCTTTGCCCAGTTGTATTATTTTTGCAGTGTAGACTACTCTTGCAGTCTGGCTTGTCTGGTGACTTGACCAAAAGTTTGTTGCACAATTTATGCACACTACATAAAAATCCATGAGTGACCGCAGGGCACAAGTCTAACATGACAGATGCTCAATGAATTATAAACTGTACTATTGAGATCCGGTGTAAAACGAGAGAAAATCAATTCTATCATCAAGTGTAACATTCATAAATCTCATCACGTGACGAGAGAGATAAACTCATTAACATACATATTAAGCTTATACAACTTGTAACATCTAATAATCTCTGCAAAATTGATAATTGGACAATTATTCACTATGAGAATGGACCAATATCACTATTTTTTTTTAATTGGAGGGCATTGGTATTAGCTAAGCTTTAAAGACGAGACTTGAGCCACTGCAACAAACCTTTGTTCTCACCAGAAATGTAGCATCCCAATCCCAATAGCTAATCCACTGCTCCCAACTTTGCCCTTTATTGACTAATCTACTCCTCTCATTCTCCAACTTCCCTTTTAATAATAGGCTCACCTCACCTCATGTTTCCCCTTTATTCTAATTATACATTGTTATTGGAAAAAGGTAGAGTTTTGGTACTTAATTCTAAATGAAACATAACAATGTACTTAATCCTAAAAAATCAGGCCAGACTGATCTGGTTTGTTGCTTTGTTGGGTCATATGACCTTGAAGCAAATCCTCTCTAGATCTATACATTCGGAGTCCAATGATCAAATAATTATGGTCTTAAAAATTTGATCTCATGGTCAAAAGCAAAGAACTTATTAAAAACTTTTGAAAGCTAGAATAGATTTTTACTATAAAATAAAATTTTAAAGGCTAGAATTATTTGATCCTTGAGCTTCATGTTACTCATATAACCTCTAAACTTATGTTACTCATATGCTCTTTTCATATGTGCTTATATTAATTATATAAATTACGAGGAAAGGCACAAGAGACTCAATGTATTTATTTATTAATTAAAGAGTTTCTTATAGGGATGTTGTTTAAGAGGGAATAGTTAGTCAAACAAGGTCAGAAGGTGGTTCCTGCAGGTCATTATGAAGTATTTTAGTTTCTCAAACAAACAAAAAACAAAACAATTTCATGTCACGCGTTAGAATAAGAGCATTCCATCTAAAATTAATTGATAATTAGTAGAATATATGCTTTAACATGATGCACAAGCTTAGAGGATTGTAAACCAACCGAGTAAAAAAAAAGTACACATAATTCTCTAAAAGCAAAATTTCTAACATGAATTTTCATTTCGAGCGAATAAAATCTAGTTAGAGTTGTCTTGTGAAAAAAATACCAACGTGCAAGATTGGTTGTTTCTTTCATGAACCCTAACCAAACAGAACACAAGATTTAATTGTTTTGAACCGACTTACAATCCTAGTTTTTGTTTTATATATACAAAAAATAGGCAAGCCGGGGATGCACAACTAAATGCATAAAGCGTTATAGTTAAAGTGTTGAAGCGACTTAAGTAGCATACTCTATCAACCTAACAGAAAAACAAATATTCTCATAATTGTGAAAGCGCTTTCTAAATTTAGAACCACTAAACGCATTAGAGGCTAGAGCTAACAAACATGGAACACAACGCGTTGGATGGTAATATGAATTTGTTGATAGGGTTGTGAAATGATTGAATGGTCTTAGTTCGTAAAGAATCTCAGATGGCAACATATCATAACTGAAATAATAGATTGTAGGACTCACTGCACCACTCAGAGGCAGTTGTCCTTCCTTCTCCCTATCAGAGTCAGATCCATGCACTGATCAATACATCATATGTAATGTACAAAAGTTAGTTGGACTATTGGAAGTTGATCGATCAAACTCGAGAGAGGTACACAAGAATATATGGGGCCATTGCAAATACTCTCATGAGGGGACCCTAAACTTAAATTGTAATGCTTCCAAGACCCAAAACAAGATACGTTCAAGATAGTGTCAAATTCGATCCACCCAAACTGCTACTTGTTTCCCATTTTTGTTGTTTGCCTATTTATCTTAATATTTTTTACTCACTATTCCGTATCAATCCACGTGTACATAACTTTTAAGACCTTGCAGAATAAGCCATTCATCCTTAAAATCATTAAGATCGATTATGAAAATAAAATTTATATGCATATGTCCGTCTGCAAGAAAGATAACTCGTTACATATGTGAGGAAGTATTTTATAGAAAGAACTCAGAATCCCCTCACCAGAAAAAGAGATGAAAAGAAAATGCCTAATAAAATGCTGATTGCCATTGCACTTTGTATTCCTTTTCCTCATATATCTTCTTTGTCAAAAGAATGGTCAGAGAGAAGTTGTAGAGTGAATCTACCTTTAAACTATGAGAGTTCTACCTTATTCTCATTCACGTTTCTCTTTAATTAAGGAAGCTTTCCTTTTGATTTACTTTATGAGTTCAGATGTTGATACCTTTGACAGATCCAACAAATAGGGGAAACTTATAATAAGACCATCAAGTTAATTAACCTGGTTTAGCTTAATTCAGTCTCATGTTTGGTATTAATCTCACCATAATCCCATGACCATGTGCCTTTTTTATTTCTAGTAAGAAAAAGTTGAGATACTGTTTGGGCCCAAAATATCAGCTTGGGCCGAGTAGAGAATCATTCTCGGCCTAGAAGGCCTTACGACAAGGTTATCAGGGATCGTTTAGTTCTAGATCGGTTAGGTCGTGGGCTTCCAAACCTGGGTCGGTTAAGTCATGCTGCAAGACGAGTCGAATCCTGGTGCAATGAGGAGTCTCGGTGAGATTAACAACCCGGAAGTGAATCCGGCTTGATATAGGACTGAGTTCAAAAGTATAGTGAAAAAGGATTGGTCAAGTTGGAGTTTGATTGGGAGAAGAAGTCCTAATCCGGGTAGGTTTTTAACTCAACCTTGAAGGTATCCGGTGCTATAAACAGAGGAGGCTGTGCATCGTTCGAGCCCCTTCCAATTCAACATACAACTGCCCTGCGCAAACTTTCTCAACAACTTTGAGATTTTTATTTTCTCCTTTCACTGACACATCTTTCGTTGGCATCAACAGCACTGTGAAAGCAACCGGTGACATCTTTAGTCGGCATAGATAGCTCTATCGCCGTAAAATCAGCCGATCTCATAGTATCTTCCGTTGGCATCAACAGCACCGCAGCGAGGACGGTTGGTTACCTATCCAAGTCTCGGTCAAGAAGGATTTCTGAATCCTTATTGATTGAGGTCATCTCATTAGCCTTCTCGGCGAAGCGAGGTGTTACAACCTACTGAGCTCGGCGTATTGCACGCTAAGTTATTTTATGATTGGATACTCTCAAGTAGGATTCAAAGTTCGGCATTCAGACGGCCGAACCACGTTCATTATTAAGACTCATATCTGCTTTGAGTATTTGTGCCCTTACTTTGGTGTCGATTCGGCGTGAGTTTACTCTGACGAATACCATCACTGTGATCGAATCCAACGACGGCGATTCGTGAACTTCGTAAGAATAGTAGCCTTGTCTTCAAGTTCGAGAACCCAAGAGGCCGAGACGTGTTCCTTCCTCGGTCACAATCGCGAGATGCAGAAGTCAGCTGCGCACCCAACGCAACATCAACAAATTTACTCCTCGGCCGAGCTCGGCCGACGAGTTGGCACGCCCCGCATTCATCGAATGACGTAGTTAGCTTATAGATTACTCAGCTTGCGCGCCACGTAGGCTTGGTAGTTTTTAGGGTCAACATTTTGGCACGCCCAGTGGGACCCAATGCTAAACTACGAAGTTCATGCCAATTGAAACGCGATCGGTAAAAAAGAAAACAGTTATGGGAAAATCAATAGCCGATTTGCCAATTCAGAACATAGAACAAAGTGTGCCGCAGGTGCAGAATCCCATTAGCGCCGTGACACCTGAGTCCACGAGCGCGACTCGTCGAGAAAGGGAAGTTAATCTCGGCGATCAGTTTCGCAGTCTTGAAATCCCTAATAGGAACACCTGCGTTCTTAATGAAGGGATAATGGATGATTGTGACGAGGATGGTGGCGAGGGATCTGATCCACCAACAAGATCGTTTCTTCGAAAACGACTTGATGAGCAATCTCAGACGGTTGAACAGATGTTTAGTTGAGGAATCGATAAACTTCATGACGTGATACGCAATACCAGTGAGGCACAAACTAGATTACTCGAAATACTGGTTAGTAAGGTTAGCGACAGTAGGTATTTCGATCTTGCCCAGCACTTGCCACCAAGAAATAATCTATTACCAATTGCACCAGCCGAGTCAATCCCTGCTCATCTCAAACCAATTAACTTGGAAAAATGAGGAGGATCAAATAGTAGGTCAGACGGATCCGACCAGAGAGTGGAAGCAACACCCGTCGATATGACCGAGGTCTAACGGATGATCGATTCGGCCATGAAGAAAAGGTCGAAGTTCCCTAAATTTATACATCTGTATCCAGCTTATGTGGAACAGTTCGAATACCCTAGAGGTTTCAAAATCCTAGATTTTAGCCTTTTCGCCGGAGAATCATCTT